TGTGGTGATGAGACATTGTTTGAATTTAATGTGAAGAAATACCAATAATAATAGGAAGAAATTATACGCCCCAAAAGGTCCCCTTCACTTTACACCGAGGAGAAGACACAGCATGTTTGTGTGGACGTGAACAGGTCCTTGTAAAGTGAACCCATGAGTCATTCATTATTCATCGTGATCAAGCATTGTGTGACTCTCCGTCTGCTTGGAAGGACCTTACAAATTTGGCTTGACTCCTTGAGTGTCTGCTTCTGCTGCCAAGCCTTTCTCTAAAGACCCCAGCGTCAGCCCACATGAAACAACCAATGCTCGGTTATTTGTGCACAGAATCCTATGTGGAGAAAATCAGCTGCTGTACTGCTTATCTGTTTCTGATTAAACTCAGTGCAATGGATATAGAAAAAGTTAAATATGCATGGAATATCTGGTGTGCTTGACTAAGACTTTAATAACCAGTCACAGCGAAATGTAACAAACTGTTACATCATGCAAATGTTTTTCATGCATTCTTTGGATATGAACACAAAGTGAAACATCAAATGGTAATTTAGGAAATATAAGCAGGGGTTTTATTCTGGATTAATCAGCCGGTTGCACATTTACATGTTTAGCATCAAATCATTTGCAAGCAGGAAAAAATATTCTGCAGCCTTTCTGAGTCTTGTGTAGAGAGGAACAAATGCAGTCCAAACAGTTTGCAATCTTGTGATTTACCTTCTACTTTAATTAGGGATTGACAAGACAAGCTGTCTTTTAAAGATAAAGAGAAGAAATGTGACATCACTCAGTGCTTTGCACTATTGATTTTGAGATTTGTCTCTAGGCTTCTGGAGCTAGAAAAAATATGCAGAGAATTGAGTTCAGTGCAACAGTCAAGGACAAAGAAAAAAGTCTGGTTGTTAATGCATAAATCATCTGCTGGTTCTTTGGCTCTAAAATATTACAAGTATAGGCAGACCCCCCAAAGACTGCTTTATTATTTATCTAACCATTTACAATATTAGCAATCTTCTTTTTTGCACGCTTAAGAAGGAGCAAGTCAAAGTATGTCCTTAGATAATCCTGCCATATTAAATGATAATGGCTGCATTCTATTATTACTTTTTACAACTTTAAACCCATATTTTGTTTTCATATCGCAAAGCAGAAAAAGAACAAGAAAAAAAATCTATTTTTTTGCCCTAATTGTTCCTTTTTGAAGAAATTGGCTGTTTGTCCTGTTATTAAGTATACTTTTTGTTTCGTTTTTAAACAGATTTATGTTTTTACTTTTATTTTTTACATTTGAAATGAATATAAATTCTGTATTTTTATATCCAAGCAAACTTAAAGTAAAAAAAAACAAGTAAAAACAATTCACTACTTGTTTTAACACTTAGTACAAGCAGCTTTTATCAGTGGGTCTCTCCTTTGACATCCCTAAAGGTCAGAGCATATTTAGTGAGGACAGAAAGATGTTTTTAGAAGATATTTTGAAAAGCTCAACACGCGCTCTCATAAAGCCTTTAGGAACAGAAGAGGCCCACAGCATCACAGATCCTCCGCCATACAATATTTGTTTCTGTGGTGCAGCAGGAGACCAAGCCTTAGGAAAATAAGACTCCACAAAAACCACTTTATTTCCTCACATAGAACTCAAGTAAACTACAGCATGCATTGCAAGATAAGTAACAACACTGTTCCAATTGAAGTCCCAGCCGCATTTACGTTTGTGATTATGAATTTTCTTTTTTGGCATTCCTCCCAAACATCCAGGTGGGCACAGAAATGTTTAATGATCGTTATGGAGACTCGGCGACCTCAAGAAGTCACTATTTGCTCCAGTTATCAATCAATAAAATTTAGAGATTTTTAGGTTGATTCCCCTTCTCCTCCCTGTGCCAGGTGGAGAATTAAACTTGGTTTTTAGTCCCTTTTTTCATCTAATTTAAACTTTTTATTTTTAGCTCTGCTTGTAAATACCAATTAAATTGTATCCCAAATCTTCAGCATGAAACCGAATCTATAACTAAACTAAAGCTTTAGCTTAGAATTTAATGGAAAAGACAAAAAGATTATTGAAAATCTTTTGCTGATTAATTTGCTATTTCACACAATTTCCTTATAGTCATTTATTCTCTTTTGCTTCGTTTGTTCAGTCTTTTCCAAAATGTTCAAAATGAATCTATGTGCAACATCATGTTTCCGTTTCACATTTATAATCAGCATCTGTTTCCCCAATTCCCCTGAAACAAAATGAAATGCGTCTCGTTAATTAATCTGCTGATTTCAGTCCTTTAATTCCTCCGCTGACTAAAATATTCAGTTTGCTCACCCAGATTTTCTTCTCTGCTTATAACCAGACGCCTGGAGCAGAGGGAGTGGATTGATGGAGACTGGCTGGATTTTGCAGTTTCACTGGTGCCAGTTCATTTGGATCAAATTAATCTTTATTAATACCTCAAAACAGGGTGTGAGCTAAATTAACTGTGTCCCTGAATGCAAGAAATTCTGTGCTTGCTAATGTATCTGAACTGTATCAAAACAATAAGAAAAAAACTCACAACATATGATTGTTTAGCAGCTGCCTCTATCTCACCAGATGTTGCAATCAGTACTAGAGAAACCTGGATAGAGAAACAATGTATCATATCTCATGTGTGGGTTTTTTCTGCCTGAATATGAACACATTAAAAGAGCAAAGCATCTGTTCGTCATCAGACATCACCGGATTGTTTGGTGGGAACTTTGGTGGTCAGATATTGACTGCTGCTCCACTTCAAAAACTAGAAATTATCCCATAATTCTCTTTTTACATATTGCCTCATGAGTAGCTCCACATGTTTTCGATGTTCTTACCACCTGAAGCTTCAGAAGTGGGACATGTGGCTGAAAATTCGGCCCGACACAGAGGGTTTTTTTTTTTTTTCACTCTGTGTGACTGTCATCAGAATCAGATTTGGGTGTTAAAATGTGAAAAGCAGCAGTTTGGATAAATCCGCAAAGAGCTCCAGGCTGCTATTCTTAATCTTCAAGCTCTGAAAAATACACTTTCTGTTCCCGCCACAGGGTAAAAGATGAGCAGCTCCAATTTACCACTCCCAGCAGAGCTGCTTAACATGCTGGATCTCTTAACAGTAAAATATAAAGTCGTTTTTTTTGTCCTTTTCTTTCTCTGCCTATTTCTGGCCCGAACATGGTATCCTCAAAGCAACACCTCAGGATCTCTCCGTGCTCAGTCAGGAAACGGCTCATCACAAAATATTCCACAGCATGACATGTTTAATTAAGTTTGTTAACTGGATGATGCTAAATCAGACCCTGAAATATAGTTGAGACAGTTTGCAGATTAAACAGGTTTGATAGAAGTGAAATACCCGCACAGCAGACACTTAAAATGTTTCGTCAGCTTTAAAAGATCTTAAATATTTCATAGTAGATACTTTAGTTAATGAATATGTTTTACTAATGCCGGAGGAAAGACAGGAAAATGTTGCAGTCTCCCTTAGATTTACTCCCAGACAATAAATAACCGTACACCTTTCTAAAAATCTTGCAGTAATAATTAACCAACTTTGGTTGCAAGAACACACACGCAGCTTTTTTAATCTTCTTACCAGCCTTGGTGGCCACAGTTATGGTGACTTGCAGTGAGGCTTTTGCATCAATGGGTGCATTTGTGCCGACTGTTCTTTTAAGAATGTGTTTAGTTAAGCCACACTGGAGGTTTTTTTTGGGAATGAACAGTCAATTTAAGGTCTGAATTAGATTTAAAGAGGCAGTATTATGTTCTTTCCAGGCACATAGTGCCATTTTATAGCACAATCAAGTAACTGTTACCTTCAGTTGTTACAACAATGCTGAATATATCAAATATGACTTAAAAGAAAACTGACTTTGTAATTTAACACCGGGAAATTGGGCCTCTGTCTTTTTAAAAACTCCTGCTCTTTTTGAAACTCCTCTTTCAGGAAGTCATCACAACATCACTCCTCTATTAACCCTTTAACAAAGTTTTCCCAGTGTTGTACTGAGAAGCAGCTGGTATAACGTGCTAATCAGTTATACAACCAGGTGTTTGCTAATTGCTGCTGGCTAGTCTGAAGGAGCTGGGTTGGGGTGGGCTGCTACATGAGGGGGAAGCTCGGAAACTTGGAAACGGCAGCTTCGAGGAGGAGCTTCATCCTCTGAGGAGGCGCTCGGTCCCGCCAAGCTGAATGTTTGACATGGGAAATTATGCATGAAAGAATCAAGGGAACGCTCCAGGTATGTTTTCATGAGGGAATAACGTTATCACATGACATACACCTCAAAAAGTCGATTTTACAAAATGCTGCTCCTTTAAGCAGCATTTTGCTTGTCCACTTTAGTCCACTTTACGCAGTGGACTCCATAGGGTGCTACAGACAATTTTCCTGCTGCATAACCCCAGTGTGCTTGGGCTAAATCTCATGAACTGATGACCTTATGATAACCGGCTACAGCAGAATTCATGGAGCAGAATAAATTGGTTTTGCTCCATGTAATTGGCTCCATCAATTATTTTGTTGCGAGGAAATGTGAAGCAGGCCTTTGTGTTTTTTATTTTTTTGCAGTGAGCAGTGGATCTTTCCCATGATGCCCTTTCTTGATGTTAAATCATGAACAGCGACCTAAACTGAGGCAGGTGAGGCCTGCAGTTGTTGAAGTGCTGTTTTCCTGGATGAACACTCGAGGCGCTCTTGAAGTAGCTTGCATGTGGTCAATTTTTTTGCTTTTACATAAGTTATTATTAATAACTTAGATATCAAAACTTACTTGATGATCTGAAACATTTAGGTGTGACAAATAAAAAAAAAGAAAGAAAGAATATGTTGACAGGGGTTAATAAATTTCCACCCAAGTAGAACAACAAAGCATTTCTGCTTCGTCACTCTACTTCACAATTCTGCTTTGGCCTCAAAACAAAGTAAATCATTTCAGAACTCAGTTATAAGATGGGCTTAGTGAGTACAAATGAATTGAGAAGCCACATAGCGACACACTCCAAACATGCCACAACACCTGACTCTCCTCGTAAGGGATTTTTGTCTTTTTATGAATTTCTTTGAACTGCTCTGTTGAAAAAAATGTGCTGAACAAATGAACTGCCTTACTTTACAATTTTTATTTTTGCCCCTCCCTTTTTTGTTACAACCGTCTTCAGTTATTTAACAGTAGTTTCTTCTTTTAGTACCAATAATTATTGTGTTTTATCTGGTGAAATAACAAATTTAATTATCCTAACCTAACATTCCAGCTTTTGTTTGGTGTGTGTATCTGCAGCTGAACTATCCCGTCCTCATTTTGGCCATTTTCATCTGCAGCATCGGGGGGACATTTCAGTATGGATTCAATATTTCTGTGATGACTTCCCCCTCTCAAGTAAGTAGAATAATTTTAGCCAATGAGGGAATTCGGTCTTTTTAACCAGATATGTTGGATTTGGGGCACCAGACAATTTATGAATGAATACCTGTGTGTTTTCCTGTTGCAGTTCATAAAAGAGCTGGTGAATAAAAGCTGTGTGGAAAGATTCGACCGAATCTTAATAGACTGGGAGGTGTCTCTCATCTGGTCCTTCACAGTGTCTGTTTTCTGCATCGGAGGGTTGCTGGGATCGCTGATCGCAAGTTCTATCAGTTCAAGATTTGGCAGGTTGGGACACAACTACAGCTTCAGTCAGCGTTTTGATTCAATGCTGCTGAGTGTAACTAGACACCCCATGTTTGTCTCCTCCCCAGAAAGCGCTGCCTTCTATTAAATAATTTTTGGGCTATATTAGGAGCCATATTGATAATCTTGAGCCGAACAGCCAATTCCTTTGAGATGATAATGGTGGGAAGATTTCTCTACGGCATCAATGCAGGTAATCCCCCCAAACCCTTCCGCATTATATGCCCATTTATCCTGTTTTACAAGCAGTTTGAGTGTTGCAACTGGTTTGTGTTCAGGGATTGGTCTCTCGGCTCAAGCGATGTATCTCACCGAATCTGCTCCTAAGAATCTGAGAGCGATGGTGGGCGTCACCATTGCGACCGCTTTGGCCATCGGGAAGTTCTTTGGTCAGCTGTTGGGGATCAGGTGAGCTGAACTGGGTCAAATGAGCAATCCAATATGGATCTATGGTCATGTATTAGTCTATTTTAATGACACCGGGCTTCATAGAAACACAATAGTGTGAAAAGTCCTGTATTTCCAGGAGCTATCTGGTTCTGTCGTATTTTTTTAAGTCTTTCTGTCAACTTTAGACCTCAATGTTGGTACTAAATACTTGTTTTTATGTGTTACCAAATGTACTTTTTCTTGTGATATGACGTTTTCCCTTATATAAAATAATTGTCATTGTGATTACAGTGTTTTTTTTTTGTTTACGTAAAAAACATGACTTAATAGTTAGAAAATGATGTAGATTTGTTCCCTGTGGCCCTCTCCGCTCTTTATCTCATCTGTTCTCTCTTACCTGAGCAGACACTATGCTTGTCATTTGTGTTTGTAGTTAGATCATTTTAGCGTTTTCTCATTAGGGCATCTCCATCTTGACTCTTTCCTTTATGTTGAGTTTAGTTCCTTCTTGTGTCCATTTCGTTGTCTGCTGGATTCAGTTGTCGGTCTTGTTGTTATGTAATTCCCTTCGTTGTTTCTGTAACTCCTCCTGAGTTCCTGTCTGCACTTTGGTCCAACGTATGCTGATATGTTCAGGTACAAGAACTGGATGGAAACTGAATGAATAAGCAGCCTTAAATAAAAATCCATTTTTTTCTTGTGGCTAAGTCTTGAAAAAATATTTTTGTCACATAATCTTGACAAAATTTGATGCTTCAATTAATCAGATATTTCTCTCAGGCAGAATGGATCAGTGTTTACATCTAACATATTTAATTAACATCAGTACATAAAACTAAAGTTGGGTTAGTTAACTTCTGGCCCAATTCAACCCTCATTCTCCCGACAGAATGCTTTCTTATTTAACTGGACTTGTTAATGATTTGTGTGTTTGATGTCCTGACTGTTGCTTCATCTCAAAGTGACTTTTTCCCTTACACAGAGAGCTGCTTGGCACAGAGAAGAGCTGGCCCTGGCTGCTTGGTTTCAATGGCTTCACTGCATTGTTCCAGCTCTGCACTCTGCCTCTCCTGCCAGAGTCTCCCAGGTTCCTGCTGCTGGAAAGAGGAGACCTCCAGGCCTCTGAGAAAGGTTTGATATGTGGTTTTCCTGCCCTAAACTAATGGAAAGTGTTCCATAATACACTTTCCTTCATTTTGTTACTATTTGCAAGCAGCTGCACCTGAATGCACCATTTTCTCATTCTCGCTTAGCTTTTAGGAAACTATGGGGCAAAAAAGATCACAGCAAGGAAGTTGTGGAGATGCTGGAGGAGAAAGCAGCTCTGCAGAGCATCCGGAGCTGCTCGGTTCTGGAGCTATTTCAGAACCGAACAGTTCGCTGGCAGCTCCTCAGCATTGTTATCGTCTTCACCTCGCTGCAGCTCTGTGGCATTAATGCTGTGAGTTACACTCACAAATGCAAATAGCCTTGATTTACTCTGCATACAGAGAGCCTTTTTATTGTGAGCAGAATTGATGATCTGTGTTTGTATGAATTTCCAAAGCATGGAATTGCTCACTGCACAATTACAACCAAATAAAAAGGGCCCAAGTAGAGATGCACCAATTAGATTTTATGATTTTAGATTTTTTGTCGCTAGTTTTTGAAATTCTGACCTGAGGATTTTTAAATAAAATGATAAATTTTTATAAAATTTTAACTGACTTAACAGTTATCCGTCTATTCATCAGTGAAAATCTACAGTGATGTCGTAGAGCAGAGGTATCTGTAGATAAAAACTACTTAAAATGAACTGTATAAGTAATTTCTCTCAGTGCATCCCTGCAAATATGTTGTTCTAAATTAAACCTCATATGTTCAACTGTTTCTCTTCAGGTGTATTTTTACTCTTTTGATGTATTTCGAGCTGCAGGGATCCAAGAACACAGGTTAGCGTACGCTGCCTTGGGGACAGGCCTCTGTGAATTAACCACCTCTATAGCCTGTGTAAGTCCTCCTTCACTGATTTCCACTTATTAATATTGTTCTGTTCAGTAACTTTAGGTAAAACATCCTGACAGCTTATGTTTAATATCGTAAGTTTATTTTCCTTTTTATCACATCTAAATGTTGTGTTTCAGTTTAAGCTGTTCTGAATATGTTTGTGTGTGTTGATAGCGCCTCCATGTGGTCAGTGAGAGCTGAACATTTGCACTAAGATGTTAAATCTGTATTCAATTTGCAGTCAATGATAATTGAGAGCATGGGCAAAAAGGACCTGATGTTCAGAGGTTACATAGGAATGGCTGCATCACTGGGCCTCCTCTCTGTCACTGTTTACTTTCAGGTGAGTTTATAACCCCCCCGCCCCCAGATATATCTAATGTATATTTATTCACAATTTGTTCCCTCTGTGTGATATGACTCCAGGAAAAGGGATAAAATATTCTCTTGTTCTCTGCAGAAAACTGTCTGGTGGCTGCCGTACTGCAGCATGGTTCTCGTTTTCGTCTTCATTTTCTTCTTTTCCAGCGGACCAGGTGTGTTTGCTTCACAATGCTCCATTACATTTTGCTCATTTCTAAATTAAAAGCTATGCATAACACCTTCTACTACTCTGTTTTGTTTTGGGGTTTTTTTTTTATCCTAAGCTGCAACGACGATTCCTCTTCCAGGGGAGATTTTAACTCAGTCGTTTAAATCAGCTGGATACACAGTCGGATGCACAGTGAACTGGACCTGCCTGTTTGTTCTGGGGTCACTTTTCCCCATCTTGGTGGTGAGTGCCTCAGCATCAAAATGTCCATATCCTCAGCTACAGTTCAGATGTGTTAGCTTGTAAATTAATTTGCAATTTCAAATGTTTCCAGGAGCACCTTGGCAATTTTTGCTTCCTCATATTCATGGCTGTTTGCCTCGTCTGCGGGTTTCATGTGAGGTTCAACATGCCGGAGACCAAAGATCGAACAGCACTGGAGATATCTGCTGAGTTTGACAGGATGCATGCCAAAGATAAAACCTCACAGAAGAAAAACTCTTCTAAAATCTGTGAAATCAAAGCACAAGAGACCAAATTATGATGCAGTGTTTGGGCAAAGCTTACAGCTACTTCACAATAAAGACTAAGATTGAGGAAGCGTGAAGGTGTTACATTCCTTGGGAATTTGGCTTTTGATTTTGTTTGTAAGTGATAATTTTGCTTTGCGTGAGTCATTTACGTTTTACATTTACGTCATGAAGCCTAGGAGTAAATTCAAACTGCAAGACTCTATTCAACCAAAGATATTGATTCCAACCTATCTGTGATGGTCTCCTCCTCCGAAGCACCGCTCCCTTGATAAGGTCCAGCTGTTCATCTGCTTCCGCTCGTTGGCTGAGCTTCAACCTTCCTCCACCCCTCCTCCGCCCTCAGCTCGTGGTTTCTTCAATGTCCGACATCCTCTCCACCTCCAGTATCTGGGCCAGAGGGGGTGAAGAAGACGTCTCTAATCTTCATACACAGCGGCTCATTCTCTTTGACAGCGGTTCCTCCTGGGTCTGAGCAGCACCAAAGACTTTCATTTGTCAATTAAATCACTCTCTCTCTCTGCCTGAGTTTTTCCAGGTTGAATTGCCATGCTCCGTTCGTTTTGCTGTGTTAATTATTGTTGTTAAGGTTTCACTTACTATATATGTTCATTCCTTTGGATTTAGTTTTTCCAGTTTATTTTTAGGATTATAAAAAGCCTTCACCTCTTTGGATGTTTTACTCTTTAATTGCTTTCGCTAAATATTCGTGATCAACAAAATGTAGCTGTTTAATGTCAAAGTGAAAACTGATCCCCATAAAATGACAACAGATAAGTAAAAATATGCAAAATAAACTAAGTGATTGCATGAATATTCACTGCCTTCAGTATTTAGTAGATGCATCTTTGGTTTCTATCAGGTTTGTACATCTGGACACATCGATTTTTCTTCATTCTTCCTTGTTACAGCTCTCTCAGGTGGAGTGGGGATCAGCTGTGAATGCCTCTTTTCAAGTTCCTGTACAGCAGAGTAGAAGCTGAAAAAGCTTCTGTGTTTGTCTCTGTTAGAGTCACTTTTTCCACACTAGCTCTAAAAAAATTAAGGCTAGTCAGCTGATTGATTACTAGTGGCAAACAGCAATCAAACAAGAAATTTTGGACAATTTCGTGGTCCAAACTTTGTGGGTCCAGTCTGGTGATGCCTCCTTGTTTTTGTAACCTGACTTTGAAACAAGAGGTGACAAGGTTGGTGTGGAAGAAACTCAAATATCTTTAAAGAGTCATGAGTTTGACTTTGTGGAGCACCGTGGGGGTGAATATGAGTAGAGACTGTGAGCCAAGGCTTATTGTCCAACATCAGTGTCTGACCTCACAAATGTCCAGTGGAAAGAATGATCATACTTCTTAAACATACTTCTTATCCTTTATCTGTAACAGGATTTCTATTATTTTTAAACACAATAGATTTAGAATCACCCAGTTTTATTTGAGTTAATTCTTCTAGCAAACAGAGTAAGTTGAGATGCCATCTTATTTTTATTAAAAAGAGCATTTCTTCTGACAACCCTTCCAAAATGTTACGTTGTACTTGTTATATCTCACATATCATGACTGTGATTATTCAACATGTTGCCTTCGGCCTGTAAAGCCTGAGCTGTAGCTACTGAGGTTTATTTTATCGTCTGACTGCAGGGATGGCCACTGGTGATTGGCAGCTATCTGAAACAATTCCTACTAGTGAAGAATGATGGACATCAAATGAAAAAGGCCTTCCAACCCTTCTTGTATTGATGTGCAGCAATTATTGCTTCTCTAAGGTCATTCATGACATCTGACTCCTTCAGTGGAGATGGTCAGTTTAGCTGATTTTAATTACCCTCATTTCCTCATAATTTCAAGACCCATAGGAAGGGTGTAATTACATTTAGCAATGACTCCAAATGCATTATTCTGTTTCCTCTTTCTCTGTGGCAATAAATAATCTATATCTTTCAGTTAGTATTATGTTAGGCAATCAATGGAGCCATAGTGAGCTCTACATTTAAGATTTATTAATTAATTTATGTTATTCTTATATTATTCTTCAGGAAAATAGAGCTCACAACAATCTGAAAGTGACAAGTCCCAACATTTTCAGGCCATTGGTGGCGAATAAAGAGCTTTGTTCCTTTCTTCAGGCTAAGTTTACACAAACAATCCTCTGGAGAATGAAGGAATGGTTTTGTAATGCTATTTCTTTAATGAAATAGAGTCCACTCTGGTAATACAATCTAGAGTATGATCTGAAAAAAAATATGTGAAATAAGACTTCAATGAAGAAATAAAAATAAAGACAAACAATAATAAAAAAAGATGCTGAACAAGTTTCGGCACATCTCTGAACCATTTTTCACATCAGATGTTAAAAGTTTTAAGCCCAGTCAATTTGGAGTGCATTAAATTAGAAGGGACTGAAAATAAGTGCACACCACACTTTTTACATATTTGAAAAAAGATTTTTGTTGATCCCACGAAGGGACGAAGTTTGTGATTTTATAGCTCTTGTGTGTAAAAACCAAACGGATCACAAATCAAAATGTCTTAAACATTTTTGCTTTGATGGAACAAGTTGAACTTCGGGTGACGGGGGGTCTGTCGACAATCATCGGGGGAAACTCCCACCAACCTACGCATGCACGCGCTGCCCCGGTACATGTGCGAGCCGCTGATAACGCAATCTAAGCCCTCAGAGCTGAAAGCGCCACAGGGGCGAGATGCAGGATGGGTTTGGAAAACACAAGCGGAAAGTCAACAGCGCACGTCAACAACAAACACACGCCCACCCAATTTTTGGGGGGCAACTTTGACCATTTAAAGCCCACCGAGGTGACTGAGGGCTGACCGCAGGCTTCCTCCGAGGGACACGATGGATAAACTTCCCTGCGGGCCTCTTGTGGAGCAAATGGCCAACAGAGACTTTGAAAAAAAGTGAGTTCTGCTTCTGATACATTGAAACAACACAACCATACCTCCGCTACGAACTTATAATGAGATTATTATTATTATTATTATTATTATTATTATTATTATTATTATTATTATTATTTTGTTTCGCGCAAAAAGAGGTTCTGTAACTATCAATTTTTTTTAAAGCATTTTGATTAATCTTTGGCTTGTTTGCGTGAAACGTACACTCTAAGACCAGGCGATTGAGTCAACAGATAGGCAGAGAAAACTCCCGCAACTAAAGCAAAGTCCTCTCAGCCTGTTCAAATTTGCCCTCATCATCTTAGAAGAAACCCAGAAAGCAGGTAAACGATTTACAGCAGCCGTGCAGATCACGTTTGAATTGGGAGGGAATTGTTGAGAGGAGGCTTCACACGAAGCCATTACGCAAATTATACTTTTGCTGCACTGGAGAGTGTAAAATTAGACAAACAGTTGGCTTGCAAAATGCTAACAGAGCTCGTCATCCTGAACATAACAACACCACTGAGAAGCATATAGTAGTGGCAGCATCATTTGTAAAGCATGCGGTCTCTCTCTCTCTCTCTCTCTCTCTCTCTCTCTTTTAGCAGGGGTTAAGAAAATGAAACTAGCTAAATACGGGATAATCCTGAAACTAATCTTGTTAAGAGACTGCAACAGATTTGAGAGTGAGTTGCAGATTCACTTTCCAGCAGCAGAACGGCCCAAACCAAAACACCAGAATTGTGACGCAAGGCATTTGGATCAAAAACTGCAAAGAAAGTTTTGACTTTTAAGACCTAGAAATCTGGCTGCTTAATACAAAAAATAGGATGCCCAAGGGGGAGGCAGGTATATTGTGTTACACTTTTCTTTGCTTCATTTTTTCACCACGTTTATTGTGTTCACTTGCAGGGTGTTTGTTAACAGGAGTCTGACTCTGGAAAACATTAAGTGCTATGGCTTTGACATGGACTACACACTGGCAAGTAAGTGAAGGAATAAGGCAAAAAAAATCATAGAATTACAGACTCACTGACAGAATGCCAGTCATCTATCTGCTTCTCTGTTTGTAGTGTATAAATCTCCTGACTATGAGAGCATGGGCTTTGAGCTATTGAGAGACAGAATGGTGTCGATTGGATACCCTCATGAGATTCTTCGATATACGTACGACCCAAGCTTCCCCACTCGGTCAGTCTCCGCTTCTAAAGCTTCATCTATTCATTCAAAGCAAAAGTCAATTATCTGTTTGCCTAACTCGCTTTCTTTCCCCTTTCTTCTTGTCTCCCGACAGCGGGATAGTCCTTGACAAAACATTAGGGAACCTGCTGAAGGTGGATTCAAACGGCAACATCTTAGTTTGCAGTCATGGTTTCCGCTTCCTTAGAGAGTAAGGTCAAAGTCAAGTTGAATAGCAATGCTGACTGTTGTTTTGCTTCTTTACATCAGAAAACATGTAGATCACAGTGGGCTGCTGTAGATTCTCATTCATCCAAGACACTTCAGTCATAAATGCTTTACGAGAAGGGAACAGAAAAATATTGGATTAAAACTAATTTAATTTAATACATCAATCAATCAACTGTTTTCCCATTAATAAGCTAGCAAACCAACCAAGCACTTAATTAATTAACCATCAATGTAACCAGTTAATCAATCATTTGGTCAGTGGATTACCAAATCAGTCAACAAATTAACCAACCAAATGTACCAACTAATCAGCTACTCAATCAAAATACAGGCAAATAAACTACTTTATCTCCCTTTTTAACCATCTAAGCAGCCAATCAACTGTTCAGCTACCTAAATAAATAATTTAACAATTTAGTCACCAGCTAATTAGTTTACTATACTAACTAACCAACAATACAGACACTTAGTCAATAAAGCAAAAAATAAAAAATAAAATAAAAAAATAACTAAATAACCCACCAATCTATCTAACCACTAAATTCACAATAGCACTTTTTATTCACATGTAATGAAAACCCAAAGTTTTTAGAAAATGCAGTTTATAATAACCAAACCAGACAAGGCAACTGCAAATTAAATTTAATTAAATGTAATTGCTACTTAGTTTTTGGATCTAAGTAACAACTCGTGTTTTCTGGTTTGGTTCACAGGGAAGACGTCGAGTACTACTATCGAAACAAGTTCATCCAAAGAGATGACACTGACAGGTTTTACATGCTTAACACCCTCTTCAATCTGTCAGGTATGACATGAATTCATTTCTGTGTGATTTCACAATGTCTGAAATCCAAATAAAACATACAATTACATGTAAATATAGATGTGTGACGTTATGAAACAACTAATTTTCTTTCATTTTGTTTTTTCAGAGACTTATCTTTATGCATGTCTGGTGGATTTCTTTACTCGATGCACCAGATACTCAAAGTGAGTGAACATGCTTATCAGTTTCTTAACGCACCTTTCATTTATGTTGCAAACCAACCGCTTCGGATGTTATCAACCCAAGGAAAGGCCGTTATTGGTGGTTATCAGCCCCATTGATTGCTCCAGGCGGTCCCTCCTGGGAGGCTCAGTAGATTATCTACCATTCGCATCAGCTTGTCGGAGATAGAAGTTTTTTTTTTATTTATTTTTTTTTTAGCTTTTTTAGAAAACTTTTATTTACAATTTATGTACCAGTTTGAGTAGGATATCAAGAATTTACTACAAGATGTATCAGTCACAAGACTTTAATTTAAAAATGGCTCAGTAAAGTGTAAACCGAAGGGTTTTTTGTTGTTACATTTGGCATTTATTTGCAGTAAATCATTGATATCATACTAAAACATAGAAGGTATATTGTAAATAAAGCTTTTAAATCAAGCTAATAACAACAAAAACAAAAATCAAAAATCAATGAAGCTGATAACCACTAATA